TAATTTTTAAAGTTTAAAATGTATTAAGAATTTAGAATCATAAATACTCTTTTGATATTTATATACTACGTAAATATATGTAGGCATATTTTTGAAAAATTGTCCTTCATTTTGAATCCATATTTATGGTCACCGTAAGTATGGCATAACGGAGTAGTTTGACTACTAGTACTGAGGACTTTTTGATGACAACATTGAGGGGAAAGTACTCAATTTTCGCCCATGGCCTCAACGAAAATAAGGACTTTGGTAAGCACTTTTGTAATTAGCGATACTGATAATATGAGTACTGATATGATAATCAGCTGTCTTGTAGGGTATACACATACATGGGAATAAGTACAGATAGGTACAGCATAAACTTGCGCACGGTAGCCAGCCACCAGCAACAAGGTGTGAAAGCGGTTGGCTGCAATTGTTTTTGTTATTTGCACTATTCGTACAAATTTAAAGCTTAGTGAAGATTAAGAACTAAAATGCCATTTTTCCTAAAAACAAATAATTGTATGAAGCTCAATAACGTTATTGCGCTCCAATAATTATGTATATATCAAAAACAAAAACAATTATCCAATTTGAACAGTACAGTCATTTAGTAAGGGGCTACAAATCATCTACTTATAACGGCTGATGCCGCCGGCAGTTTACATTTGCCTGCGCTAAACACCCAACCGCCCGCCGAATCACTGCCAACGCGTGCTGTATTTCATGTATTGATTTTTAACCCATTTGCTGATTGCAACAGTGTGTGCTGATAATTGCATCAGCGTGCTAATCTCCGCCAACGCCGCCGTCGAAAATTTGCAACTTAACTTTTATCACTTGCTACTTTCATACCAGATACTGATGACATACAGTGGCGGACGGGTGGCGCCAATTGTAGTTGGCAACTCACATGTATTTGTGTAAAGTTTATCCTAGAAATTATGCGTAGCACAAACTCCAAAGGAGCTTGCTCCTGGCCTAAACGCTATTACCTGCAAGCTATACATACACATATGTACTCATCTGCCTCCGGCTAATATTTGTTTTTTTTTTTTTTTATCATCTTGACATTCACATGTCTTTATCGATACTCTTTGCGCCCCCGCTGCACACATTTTTTCTACTCACTCCTTCGCGCTTCACTTGCTCCACTAGTGTACACTTTTCCAGACACTTTTTGCACATTGAAAATCCGTTAACACTTTGTATAGACACATTTTTTTATATGCTACACTAAAATTGCGTTGCAATTCAGCACTTCCGTTCATTATTGGATGTTTATTTAATCAACTTTGGTATTTTTACAATTAATTTTACATACTTTGTTGTACTCACTTGTATGGCAAATATTTTGAAATCAATTTTTCCGACCACTGCAACGATAAATGGAAAATACTGCCAGTGAGAACGAAACTGGACTGAATTGACTGACTGCGCGATTATCGAGCGAACGCATGTGTTTTGTGTATTCTGTACTCATCTAGTTTGAACGGGCATGCAAATACAAACACACCTGCATTGCTCACTTCGACGATGAATGTATGCATGAATGTGTGCATGAGTTTGACAATTGTCTCTTTCCGTTTTCCGCTCTTCCGTTTTAATTATTTAAATACAATTCAATAAATGTTGTTTAACTTATTATACACTTTGTCAATTTATGCATAAAATTAGTTATAAAATGTATAGTTATCATAAATAACTACACTGTTCCTGAGAAATCAATTTAATCGATTATTTATTTGATGTATTAATTATTAACTAAAAACTAATACACATATTTTTCTTCTTTTTTATATAAAATCAATTGTGCCAGAAAATACGCATTTTTCAATCATTAGTTGTGTTTTTTTACAAATTATCCAGCAACTCTCCAGTAACTTTATTTCTAAGAATTCGCTCTCATATAAAAAATTTGCAAAAAAGTACGCGAACGCTTTTCCAGTAATAATTTGCAAGTTTCATGAACAGCTGATAAATTGGTTGTTTATTCGCAGCAAATTCCTAACAAAACAATATATTTTGTATTTAAATAGGTTTATTTTGTGAAATCCAACAATAAAAACCCACAAACAGTTTCCTTATTAGTTTAAATTTCATCCAGCAACATGCGATCAGCTGTTTTTTGTACTGGCAAATTCTTACAAGTAAAAATTTATCCAGTAAAATCCAGTAAAAACTTGCAACTTCAACTGTCATTTTTCGCTCTTTCAATTTCCCCTACTTTGCAAGTTTTTGCGTACGAAAACGCCAAAACATGAAAATTCGTAAAAACTTTTACTGGATTTTACTGGAAATGAGTAAACAAACGCAATTATTTATATTTTTCGTTGTCTTGGAATTTACTCGCTCAGAGAACGTATATTTATTTTATAAATATACGTTCTCTGTAAATATACGTTCTCTGCTCCGCTAACAAGAAGCAGTTAGGAATGCAAATTTTAAGCAGTAACATCGATACATCGACGTTTCGATGCATCGGAGAATAGAACATCGACGCTAAAATACATTGCCAGAGAAACATCGATATATCGATGGTTTCCGATGTTTTGCAATTTGTTAATTTCTAGTTAAATTTAAAGCAATATTGAATACTTAAATAATTATGAATGTATTTTCCTGTATTTTATTATCTATCTTTTCTATACCCTTTCTATTATTAGAATCAAAATGCATACCATCGTAAGGTCGTTCGGGCCTAAAGATCCTAGGCCTGATCTTGTTGAAATTAAGGGGTGTTTGGTTCTGTTTTAACGGCTGGTTATTAGCATTCACAATGAATCCAATAATTTTATTGAACTTGGGATCGTTTTTTATGCAAAATGTTGTGGAAAAGCAACAGTAATTTCCAAAGGCAAGAAGTTATAGCTGCTATTTGGGATATCACCACATCTTCTAATCAGACTTCTTCAACAGCGGTCACTGAGGAGATGTGGTGATCTTCGAAATAGCAGCTATAACTTCTACCTTTTGTAACTTATTGTTGATTTTCAATAAAGTTTTACATAAGAAACGGCCTCAAGCTCAATAAAATTGTTGAATATAATTGTTATACGGCCATAAATAAAAAAAAAAATTATGAATGAATAATAAATTTTAGGCCAGTCAAACATACCGAAAGAAAGTCGGAGAGTCTCCTTAAAGTCGATGTTAAAAACATCGGTAAAACTTCCATCGATGTATCGCCAATTTCGCGATGTTAGTAAATTGTAAACATCGATGGCAAACATCGAAAATTGAACCGATATTATCGATGTTTCAAAAACATCGATGCATCGTTTGCATCCCTAGAAGCAGTACTCAAGGCACGATTGACAGCTAAATTTGTAAACAAAGTAAAAACAATAACAGCTAGTCATTGTAAAACTTTTAAGAAAATAATAAAATACAAGAAATGGTAAATACTTCAATAAAATAGGGCTCTCAGTTTATAACATTTCGCTCCAAATTATTTCAGTTTCATTTTAACGGTTTCAATATGGAGTTCCTCGATAATGGACGCAGTTTTCAGGAAACTTACAAGTGCTTCCCGGTAGCCATGTTACCTGGCAATGAACGTGAGGATTTGGAGCGCGGTGGCAAAAGTAAGCATTTTGTATAAATCAATAGTGAATTTCTACCAATTAATTGACTTTTCCCAATAAAAAACTCTTCTACGCAGTTATTATGCCACCATCGGCGCTGGACGTGCTCACACGTCACAATGTTGAATATCCAATGCTTTTCAAATTGACTAACCGCGCACAAAAACGCACAACTCACGCTGGTGTGCTTGAATTTGTGGCCGAGGAAGGAAAATGTTACTTGCCCTTGTGGATGATGCAAAATCTCTTGATTACCGAAGGTTCTTCTGTTCGTATTGAAAGCGTTAGTTTACCTGTGGCCACCTTTTCCAAATTTCAACCACAAAGCACTGATTTCTTAGATATTACCAATCCCAAAGCTGTATTGGAGAATGCTTTGCGTAATTTTGCATGCCTCACGAAAGGCGATGTTATTGCAATTAAATACAATAAAAAGGTATATGAATTGTGTGTACTTGAAACGCGCCCTGGGGATGCTGTTAGCATTATCGAATGTGACATGAATGTAAGTGTATATATGCATTTAAAGTTTGAAAAATGCATGTAACACATTACTAATTATTTTAGGTTGAATTCGAAGCGGCTATTGGTTATGAGCCATCTAAATCCAAACAGGAGGTACAACCCTTAGAGGAGAGCCAAGATCATGTCATGGAGGAGGTAGTTGAGACTTTTAAAGGTTCTGGTGTACGTCTGGATGGCAAGAAAAAGAAAGACAACCAACTAGATGCGCCCGTTATCAAAAGGGTAAGTTTTGAAGACTTAACTTTAAAGTTTTGCTTACAATGAGTGCATTTCATTTTATAGGCTCTCGCCCGCGGTGTGCCCGATTACGATTACCAGTTCGGTTATTTGAAATTTGATCGCTCAATAAAACCAATCAGCGAGCGTGTGCCCAAAAAAGGTGATGAAGATGACGATCCAGTAAGCTTCCATGGGCAAGGCTTTTCAATGAAATCTCGAAAAATTTAAAACCATATTTAAAAGTTCACATATGCATAGTTTAAGAACGCTCTTTTCAACAGAAATTTATT